CATCATTTTATTTTAATTGAAAAAATCTAGTTTTTGTCATCATCAAAAAGGGGGAGATTGTTAGAACATAGTTTGATTCTACAACCCTCAGTTAGAGTTTTGATGATAACAAAATACAAGATTAAATATTATGAGTTTTATATGAGACATAGATGTTACTTAAAAATTATGTTGTGTATTTACAGTAAACTCTTGTGCAATCAGCAATAGAACATCAGTATCAACATCAGCATCAGAAGATCAATCATGTGCTTACGCTGAAGTCTGATGAACAGAATCTGCGCTTAACATACTCTGATTCTGATCAAGTTCCTAATCATGTCATCAGCACTCAGAAGCGCCAGAATAAGCTAAAGCCAAGAACGCTCTGATCTTCATTACGCAGAACATTCTGAAGTATCAACGTTACTGCATTCAAGGCAGATTAATTACCAACGGCTTTATTCCAAGATAAAGATCTTCTCAAAATGGAAAGAACGTAATGAGCATTGAAATGGAATTATGGACTGCAACGTATCTATTCCAAGAAGTATTTAAACAAATCAGTGAGAAGTGAAATGGCTAATGCTCTACAATACTCTACACGCATATACACGCCTAAAGCCAATAATCATTTTCGTTCTCACTCAATCAGTTTGCTAAAGCTCTCAACCGCTTACTCTATAGCATTAGCAATCTAGTTTTATCTAAGCTGCATATTGTGTATTATCACAGTTGTGATATATAGTTTTTCTAGAAAACATCAAACACACATTTGTTCATTTATCTGTGAAAGAATTTCCTTGAGAAACCGGTCTGTGGTTTAGACTCAAGAAGGCTTTAGCAGTTGTTAAAGCAGTTTTGTATTCAGTTGAATATAGTGGATTAAGACCTCGTTGGAGAGAGGCGAAATCACCTTGACGGGTGGACTGGAGTAGTTTGAGATCAAACGAATCAGGATAAAAATAACGTGTTGTCTGCATTTGATTTCAAGTTTTAACAATTCAACCCCCTTCTTGTGTTTTTCACATCTTCATCTAAACCCTTTCATACTCAATAATTAAATGCAAATACAATGGACATTGGTCTTATTCTGACCAATAGAGCTTGGCACAATGAATAAATCTATTTTTGGCAAAAAGTGAGCAATACCATTTACATAAGCATGCTTTATGTCAAATTGTATTTCTTGAGCCATACACCAAGCTTTTTGCTTCAAACAAAGCTCCATAATGTCAGACAAAGTTCAAACACTGTGAGCAGCTAGAGTACAAGCCAGTACAGCCATAGCATTGTCAACTCTCATTTCTTACTTCAAAACCAAGAAATATGCAAAAGTCTAGACAACTTGCATATCTGATATAATCAACCCTTTCCAACATTCCAAACAAGTTTTGCACATTGCCTTGAGCCAGAAACACGAGACTTCCATCCTTCAAACACTCTTGAACACCAAAACACCAAAAACTTGCAAAATAGGGCACTCCCTGCAGTTTCACTTCCATCTCACAAGTTACTCGTGCGTTTTGCCCCAAACTTGTTCCAATACATTCCATATAACCTATCCAAGCTATCCCAACCATTGGCCACTGACTGTAACTCCATTTGCAAGCTTCACCATTTCTGTTTTCAGCTTGTGCAGGTTGACTTCTACAAGCTTGTTCAAGAACATTCAAATCAAACTAGGCATTGGGGAAGGTCAGAGGAAGTTTAAGCAAGCTCTCAAGCATCTCATGCCTCACTGAAAAGCTCCACATTGCCATACTCGTGTTCAACTGAAACAGGTATTTTGCAACTTCATATCTCTCTATTTAGGAACCATTAGGCTTAGGTTTGTGAATAAAAAATGTAGTACTCATAGCCCTGAAGCTGTACATATTGCTCAGTTTTCATTTAAGTTAAGCATGTTAAGAGAATTTGATTCATGAACATCCTGAAAAAGTTAGGTTAAAAATTAGGGCCAGAGAAATTCTCTCTGGTCTTTGAGATTTAGCTTGAGTTCTTTACATGGTTGGAATCGTCTTGAAAAATGCTATAACTTTTGTGTTATGAGTTTTTGCATTAGAGCACGTATGCAGGTTTTCCAGATTTTGTACAGGCGCGCGTATTTTTGAACGAAGGTTGAAGATGAAGCTGGAAATGGGCTGGGCCTTTGGTTCTTGTTTTTGGCACCCTCTGCCTTGCTAACTGCACCCCCTGACCCATTGTTTTATATTTTTGTATTTTATTTTTCATTTCTGATTTTATTTTTATATTTTCTAAACATAAAAAAATACCAAAATCATTTTTATAAATTTTCACATTCATTTTTATATTTTATTTTATTTTTCTAACATGAAAATAATTATTAATTAGTATATACATTTATTTTCTTTAATAGAAACAAATAAATATTTTAGAGATATTATATATTTTTATTTTATTATTTATACATATAAAATAATATTTTTCCACATGTTTTTATTTCTTAAATATCTTTGTATATATTTATGTTTATTTTCTTGTACATAAAATAAATAATATAGTATATATTATCTTTAAACAAAAGCTAGGATTTCCACCCTTATTAAAAAAAATATATTTTTCTAATACTTTTTTATTTTTGATACTTGTATATATTTTCTATTTTTATTTACTTGTACTTAAATAAATAATATAATTAATATATTTTCCTAAAACAAAATTAGGGTTTTTACCCTTTCCAAAAATAATCTTTTATTTCTATTTTTTTAATACATTAAATATTATATTTTTTACACATAAAAATAAATAAAAACATCTTTTACATATTTATCATATTTTGCATATATTTATTTAATTGTCCATTTAAATATTTGTTTATTTATTATTTGATACAAAGAAATTCAATTTGGATGTAATAGTAAATATTAGGGTTTTAATTTCTTGCAAGATAATCCCCTATTCAAAATTGTATCCCCCTCCCCATATCAATGTTGTAATAGCTTAGGTTTATTTTACGCATTTTATGCTTTCAAATATGCCATGTTAGAGATTAGGGTTTGTATGCAAGTCCAGAATCAAAATAAATAGCTTGACTAATACAAAGACAAAAAAAGCATGCAAATTGATAACACAATGCACACATGCACCCCTAGGGTTTCATCCACTTGTTGCCTTTAAAATGGTCATGTTATGCATGTTGAGTATCTTGGCAAAACAAAACAAAAAGATCATAGTCCCTCGATGATGCTATCTTGGTTGCCTAAACAAAATGATCTACTCCCTCAAAAAAATTGCTAAAGATGCTTGGCAATATTGCTATCATGGTCAATACGATGACTCGCGTTTGTCACATTTAACATCCTAATACAAGGTTGTTTACCAAATGCAATGATAAAACAACACTGTCAAAAGGGTTAAAAATGTGTAGGAAAGACTCTTGAGTATATAGGGTAGACAACTCTTAGTTATTTGATCAAAGCTTGCAAAAACATCCTTGTTATTTTCAAACACACCTCACAACACAATTTCAAAACATTTCCCAAAATAAATTTTCAAACTTTAAAACATTGAAATATCTTTTCAAAAGACAAACACCTTTGTATATATTCAAACAAGAATCATTACAAAGGTTGCCACAACGATGGCCTCTTTTCAAAATATTTTCAAAACCACACACAAAGCACCATTTCAAACAATTGGAAAAGCAAAGCAAGTGATCTAAACAAGTAACTAAGAGCCCATGGATAACCGTGGATGAAAAGGGTGCTTGCACCTTCCCTTTTCATAATCTACCCCTGAACCTAAGAAAACATCTCAAAGGTCTTTCCTGTGCTTTTTGACCTTTTCTTTGGATAAAATAAAAAGTCGATGGCGACTCTTGCTAAACTGAAACTTTTGCGAACACAAACGCAAAACCTCAAGTCAGTTCTCCCACCGTATCACAGTATGCAATATGTGATATTGGTGTGAAAGTTACTTTTGTGGTAATTGTGATTGGTTATCTTTGAATATTAAATCATTGAGCAATGTTGTATATGTAATCATGCAAATTGGTTTGAAGTAAGATGAATACATGATTATGTGAAGTGTGATGAATTCAATTGATGTTTGTATGTGTTGCATTACTATTATTATATATTTTCATAATGATATGAATTCCCACCCTTCTGTTGGAATGATATTTTATACGACATCACTCAAGTACCGAAGATAACGGTGGTGCTCCTAGCAAAGAGTAGTTGAAGAAGCTAGTCTTTTATTTATCTGTTTTATTAGGTAGTGAGTCATGCTCTAGTCTATGTAACACGAGAAACGTTTGGATCCATGTTATTTTGTTATATTCATGTTTGTTTGAGAGATGTTATTATACTCTCTAGAGATTGATGTTGGATTGAGATGTATGTGATGATGACCTTAGTGCTTAATATTTTATGGTATGATTGTAAATATAGGATTTCAATCATTATTATCGTTATGAAAAAGAATCATTGTGTTGTGAGATGCATATGTGTTGGTATATGAAACATGATTTTAAATGCTTGTTATGAGCATGACCGGTGTAGTTTGTTGGTTTTAAAATACATGTGATGTCACCCTCTTAAGATATACATAATATTTACTCTATTATGCCATATATTATTCTGCAGGAATTTGAGAGGGGTGTTACACGGACTTTCACCCAATTTATTTATCTCTCCAAGAGACGTTTAAATATATGAACAATAAATATAATATAGTAAAAAATTCAAAAACCATGAAAAATATACAAAAGTAATATATTTATTCCTAGAACTTACTCATTGTCGCTAAAAATAAAAAATAAAAAATAAAAAATTCATATACAATCAGTAGTTTAATACACAAACATGAACATCATCTTTACAATGTAAATAATCTTTTCAATATACATAATCTTTTCAAAACCCGGATCGGTTTACGAACCATATAATGAACCCGGTTTGGTTTTCTAGAAAATAAACCATTTTAGCTTTTGCAATTAGTGTTTTTTTTTTTTTTGTTTTGTTTTGTTGAAGGGTGTAGAAACTAGAAAATTGAGAATGAGTGCAAGTAATTTAGTAGCAGAAAAAGTGTGGAAGGAAATTGAATCCACACACACAGGTATAAGATTAATGGTTATTTATATAGTTTCATTTTTCAATCATTTCAATCCAAAATTTCAAACCCTAATTTTCCTTTCATTTCACAGTGAATGATGACCAACTTTATATGTAAGTATATTACTTCCATTTTACCTTTTTTTTCTTTTTTTTTTCTTTTTCTTTCAATCCATAGCATAGATTGTTGTTGTGTTTAAAATTTGTATAGTTTACATTTTTTGTTTGGTAAGAACTTTGAGGGAGCTACTAGAATAGTTGATCAAAGAGGTGTTAAGAGGATTTTTGGTGAACCCAGTGGAAGGTTTATCTTTCAGGTTTCACTTTTAACCTATCTTTGTTTATTTGATTAACTTATTGGTATTTTGTCTTCTTCATTCAACAGCAAGTTAGAATCATTTCTGAAGGGAAAATCAAATTATATTCGAGATCATCAAAATATGTCAAAATCAATTTTATATCTCTAGAATCAATTTTATCGGTCTTCGTCCGTGCTTCTTAGTTGCACCTAATAGTTGTGGCTAAAAGATACTACAATGTTTGTGGATTTTAAAATCTCCAAGTTTTCAGGGTAATGTGAGGAATCATTGATGCTTTTGATTTAAATTAATATACTCGTGTTCTTCGTGAGTTTAGGTTACAGGGGAGTCACGGAAAAAAGACCAGTATCTGTGTTTTGCTGAAAACTTTTGTGCATGTTATTCTTTCTTCTATGATGTTGTTAACAGAGGGGAACAACTCTGTGTAAGGCCTTATACTTTATGGTCTTTTATTTCTTCATGTTCAAAATTCACCGTAAACATTCTTATCATTGTGATGCGTTGTGTGTGTGTGTGTGTTTCAGTGTAAACATCAATTAGCTGCAAGACTTGCTGCATCGTTGGGATCGTACATCGAAGTTAAGGTATCTGATGAAGAGCTAGCTTTGTTGCTTTCCAAAATATAGCCCTCACTATTTTTTTTATTTATTTCTTGTTAAGAAAACAAAGAACTTGCTATGTAGAAACTAGATTAGGCGAAGAACAGTTCATTACCGGTAAAAAAAGTGTGATTAGAGTGGCTCTTGAAAAAGAATAGCAGAAGCATCAAAAGCTATTAGATTGACTTTTCCTGTTAAATATTGACGTGGAAACTAGTATAATGTCTTTTCGTTAGTCCATGATTTATTGTTATGCTTATGCATGTTGAGAATTTTAATTTCTTAACCGTGAAAGATTAATTTTATTTAACATTGGCAGTTAACAACTTCATACGTTATTCCTTAAAATCCATTAGTGCGTCGTGTTTTTTTATAGACAATATTAGTAAGTCAGTGGTTATGTTAGTTTCCAGGGTTTTAACTTTGGACCCCAACTTAAAACTTCTTCAATATCTCTTGTCTCAGAAAATTAACATTGATCACTCCATAGTCCGCCATCTGATTTTTGGGTTGGTAGACATCCCTTTGTTGGGTATTAGATGCGTGACAATATCTATACTTTGATAGCAAGGTTTCGTTTTAACCTTGCTATCAAAGTCAAATCTAACATTAATTGTTTCCAGAAAAGTATGCTAAAGGTCCAACGATAGCACCATTGATGTAAGTTGTCGGTTCTGAATGACTATAATCACCACGATCATCCGGAAATCCGTCGTTTTTCATTCGGACCTCCAACTATGGCTCCAACCATATGTTAGGTTAGGGTTCATTGAATGGAAAAATAGATTGAAACTGCCATCACAGCCTATTGTTTGTAGATGAACTGATAGTGAAGGCAATGAAGAACCACTGGAAAATCCTCTTAGGAAAGTATGGACCATACCCTACCATATAGGACATTCTTAGAGGATTTTCGCCTAATATGTAGTCCACCTGAAATTCAAAATTCGCAACAAAATTCATCAACAAAATGGAGAAGAAGATATTGAAGTCACTACATGATTGAATGAACAAGACTTGCCTGTCATTTTGCTATGGATCTTAAGGTATTCGAAGTGACGAAGACGTTGCTGCAGTAAAATGTGTGCTTTGCAGCTGACATATACTTTGAATAGGTTGTAAGTAAGAATGTTATAGCGGTCACATATTGAAGATTACTCTCAGGTAACTTCAACATGAGTCCTCCTGCACATGCATTCAAATTAACGTTCGAGATTGTCTGCTGCGTGCAATATAGTCAATTACATTTAGTTAAAATTCTGCTATGCAAAACAATATTTTTTGCGGAACAATAACGGTTTGTCTGCGACATTATACCAGGTATTTGACAATATTTTTTACTGAATAGTGTTCTGCGGAACAATATCAGTTTGTCGATATTCCACTCTGCTATAGTGGTATAGCCCAGTTATAGTAACTATTTAACAACATTGCCTGCATGTAAATGTGTGATTCATTGGCTGTTTTTGGGTTAGCCACGTTGCTATAATTTGCTACGAGGACACCACCAAGCGGGCGGTATGGCATAACAACCCAAGCTTTCGAAAGTTGCCACTATCTGGAAAACAAGTTTACCTTGAATCCCGAATATGAGCAATAAAATGGACAACCAGCGGAACCAAGTGAATTACTGTATGAACCTTTGATACTGCAAAGCAAAGTGATAAACATTCTGTGAAGCTCTCAACAAAAGCTTAGAATAAGATGAAGCAGCAGTTTCAGCAGCAACATCAGAACCAGGATTCTTTGAAGATACATAATAGACAGTTCTAACAGTATCAATATCTTGTGGTCTTTCCCAACATTTGGATCTCCAACACCAACAGAGTCTTCCAGGTGTTGATGTTGCACATTTGAGGAAATAGTCGGTGGCTTAGCGAATTTCCTGGTTCTTTCATTTGAAGTCCCATTCTCTTTCTATATTCAATTATGCTCCATGACAGCATTGTTGTTGTGAATGCCATTGGAAAATTGAATTTCACATTCTTCTGAAAGTTGAATTTCAGAAATGATTTTTATGTGAAATAATTTTAAAATTAAGTGATTGTTTTTTTGAAATTTTGATATTTAAAAAATTTTTCAATAAAAAGATGAAATACCTAAAATATCTATTCGAACCAAATTTTGATATTTAAAATTTGAAAAAAATAGGCAAAACAAACAGACCCATAATTAATCACTTAAAATTAATTTTTTGTCACAACATACCCAAACATACTAAATAATATAAATTTTAATAATGGTGAACAGTCCAATATTCTTGAACTTAATTGAGGATCACTATCTTTGTTCAATTAAATATTATTATTCAATGACAAAATTTTAAAAAAATTCAATTTTTAAATTAATTTGTAATAAAAATACCGACATCTAGTTACTTATGATGAGTACCTAATAATTTATCTTTTTTAATTTGTAAAATATTGACAAACGAAAATGACCTTACTCCAACTTTACTCTTTTACATTTTTTATTTATTTGGTTCTCTAAAATCGAAATCTTTCGGCAATGTATCATTTTAAAACATAAACTATACAGATATCCGTGATGTTGTATTAATAAATTTATATAGTATGATATAAAATATATTTAAATTTAGAATTAATTATTAATTTTAAAATGAACAATAGTTATATAAATTCAATTGTATTAATATACAAAAGAAAAAAAGACTCGAGAGACGAAAAAAAGAAATATTTAATATTTGAAAATAAAAATTTGTATCTTTCAAATTAAGGTAAGTATTGATTAAAATAAAATATGTATTGTTTTGATAGTGAGCCGTGAAATAGAAAATTTATTTGATATAATATAAAATGTAGTTACATCGAGATATAAATTTGAAATGAATCATTTAATTATAAAAGAAAAAATAATTATATAAACTCAAATGTATCGAATAATCATGCAAAGAGGAAAAAATAACTTGTGAGATGAAGAAAAAAAAAAAAAAATTTTTGATATTATAAAATAATGATTTTTTTTCCTTCGAATCAAGATAAATCTATTATAAATATATAAAATATAAACTACCTAAAAATTCTAAGTTAATCCGCTGAATTTAGTTTAAATTTTTCAGATGTAATGGATATAAGTGACTTATTGCACCTTTGCTGCAATTACATGCATTTGATCATTAATACAACTAAGTGATGTGTTATACCGCCATTTTTGTTAATTTTTTATTTATTTTAATTCCTCTAATCTATTATTATTTTTCACTAATTACGTGTACCCAATATCAATTACTAATGACAATCTATCACTCATATACTAACTGATGTGTCATACCACCATTTTTATTACATTTTTTATTTATTTTAATTCCTCTAATCTATTATTAGTTTTCACTAATTATGTGGGCCCAAGACACTCCGATGCTGAAGTGAGTAAGAGCACGAGCAGGCAATAGTAAGAGTATGGGTAGAATGATGAATACCTGACCCTCTGGAAACAGAGGGTATTTATAGCCCCCAGCGCTGGGCCAAGGTTCCTTCATTGGGCCGGGCAGGTTTGGCCCAATGGAGGAACTGCCAGGTTCTACGTGCGTAGTGGGGACCCGCACGTGGTCCCCTCCCTGGATGTTCTGCGTGAAGTGCGGGCGGACAGAGACGCGGTCTTTTCGGAGTCCCGTTGAGAGTGCAGTGGACTGAGTCTGCCCTAAGAGGGGTGCTCGAGGTTAGGTCGAGCTGGACAGTAGGAGCTCGAGCAAGTAGCCCCAGGGAGCACGTCGGGCACGACTGTGATCCTTTGGTCGGCGTAGCCCCCAGCAAGTCCGTTTGGATTGGGCCTTATCAATGCTATTGGGAAAGTCGGGCCCAGTCCAGAACAGGAGCCCCCCAAGTCGTGGTTCCTTGGGTTAGGAGCCATGGCTTGATCTTAGGTTGCTTCCATTTCAGGGCCTCGTGCCCGGGTCAGAGACGCAGCTCCTCGTGGGGGTGCTTCTCGCGGGGAATGCTCGGGGATTCCTCAACGGCGCGCGTCTGTCGAGCACACGAGGTATCTTTTGGGAAATGTGCCGCCACCCTATGAGGATAGGGTCATTATTGCCTAGGGAGCCGTGTGTCGAGGAGAGAAACTCTGTGGTTGCCCGAGGTGACGTTTGGTATTCCACGTCATCACTATAAATAGGATCCTGAGGCCCCATAACGCATTACTACTCTTCGCGCTTCTGATGCTGCTGTTCTTCCAGATTCTCATAGCATCGCCGCGATCTCCGTCACCGGTTCCTTTCCTCCGTTGCCGAGTCCACTCCTTGATTCCAAGTAAGTGACTTATCTTCTCTGTTTTTCTGTTTTGATGCATGAGTTTCATCGTTTTAGACGTTTTTAGAGGCTGTGCGCGTGGGACTAGCCCGGTAAATTCATGTTTAGCTCGACAAGTTCATGCTTAGGATCGGCAAACATATGCTCGTGGCCGGTAGATGCATGGTTTAGGTTAGAATCTGCAGTGCTGCCCGGGGTCTTCATGATCTAGGGCGCCTAATTCATGATCGTGCCCGGTATTGCTCATGGCTCTGACTTTAGGCTTTATGATGTTGCTCGCCATGTTCATACCCCGGGTCGGTGTATTCATGAGTGACCGCGTTGTCGGTTTGTTTAGGCGGCTTGCAGAAGGACCCGTCGAGGTATCTGGAAGTCGGGGAGGCGACTGCCATTTTTGTTTCAAACCAACTTTGTGGTCGTACGTGGGGCGACGTGGTTTGTCGCGCACTCCATCTTGTCCGTTACGACGAGCGTATGGTTTCGTGCCCAATTGACTGGTTTCCCGTGCTCTGTAGGTAACCATGGCGGACGAGCCGTGCTCTTCTGGACGCCCCGAAAGGGAGGAACAAAGTGCCGATGAGGCTGTGAGTTTGATCGACACCGTAGAAGACCCTCTGTTGGACTAGGTGGGCGCCGAGCCTAGAGGAATCGCCTCGGTCTATAGTCGGCGTAGCCGAAGGCCATACGCTGTCCTTAAGGCGAGCCACGACCAGCCTGATTTTCAAAAGAATTTCGTCGTTACGCGGCCGACCTTCACTGCTCGGATTTGCTCGGTGTTCCCCGAGTATAGTTTCCCCATGTACGAAATTGCATTCAAAGACCTTGGGTTGCAGCTGCCCTTCAGCGACTTTCAGGCGGGGGTCTTCGCCCATTTGGGGCCGGCCTCGTCGTAGCTACACCCGAACTCGCTCGCCTTTATCCGGGCGTTTGAGCTGACCTGTCGTTTTCTGAGGATTGGGACGACTATACCTCTCTTCTTCATAATCTTCCATCTGCAGCGCCAGTCCCGGGGAGGAAAGCACAGCTGGGTCTCCCTAAAACAGTCGAAGAGACTATTCAAGATGTACATGGACTCCGTGCGGGGTTTTAAAGACAAGTGGTATGTCGTGAGGCCGGTTACCACAGCCGCTTTAGAGTCCCTGTACGAGGAGGAAGCGCCGATAAGCGACGATGACGGGGAGGCACTTTTAGACAACGACGGGTATCCGGTGTTGGGACGCACGACCAAGTTCCCCGTGCATTGGATTTCTAGGCATTACGAGCACGGAACTGGGTATTATCATACTTCTGCGGGCGACATGGGTTCCGAGGATGAGAAAGCTTATGACACTCTTTGTCGGTACGTTGATAGCTTCCACCCCGCCAGGTGGGCTACGAGGGAGGGGGAAGATGTCCTGGACGAGGAGGGTTATCCGACATTCGAGGCCCGACCGATCGATACTAAGGCACTCGTGGAGTGCCAGTCATTCGGGCAGGCTGCTCGTCTGCTAGGTCGTTTATTGCTTGAATTTCTTTGCTTGTCATTTGTCTGCTTATTTGCTCGACACTAACCCGGTTTTTTATTTTGTGCAGGTTCAATGGCCGGGCGACGGGAGAGACTCTTGAAGCTGTCTTGTGACCAGAGGCGGGGCAAGAGGGTGGTGAAGGCTCCCCAAGCAACGAGGATGGGCCCGCCGCATAGTCCGGGCGCTCCTCATGTGGTGAGGGTGGATTCATCGCCTAGCTCGGGGGCTGCTTCGGAAGAGACCTCAGAGGTCCAGGAGGTCGAGCCTCATGTCGACTTGATACCGAGAAAAAGGAACCGGGTGGAAAGTGGGCCGGCGGTCGGCGAGGATTCCAGCGCCGTAAGGTCCTTCGGGTTGCCCCCTTGCTTCAAAGAGGGGGGTTTCTTCGAGGGGTTCCCTTTGTCCGTGACTGCCGATGAGGCTGAGGTTATCAAGAGGATGAGTAAGGAGGACCGGAGGAGGCACCTGGCCGCCAATATGGTCAGGCTGGTGAAAATGGCTGAAATGGCCGTTGTGCTGTCCGAGGAAGGGGAGGATCCTGTCCGCATTGAGGAATTGGAACAGGAGAAAGCGGCCCTCACCTCGAGTTCGCGAAAGTTAAGGACTGCCCTGGAACGCTCCAAGGAGATGTTTCGCGAGCAGGCATCGCTGCTGGATGCCGAGAGAGATGCTGACTCTGGAGAAGGAAAACTCGGGGAAGCTAGCCGAGGAGAGAGAGCTTCTCCGTGCGGACCGGGAGCGTCTGGAGAATGACATCGGGCGCCTAACCCAACAGATCGAGGACCTGAAAGTCGCCATGCTTCCTGCCGAGGATGAGCCAGAGGATATAGCCGCTTTGAGGAGTCGATCGGAGCTGGTCGCCCACATCCGGCTCCTCGAAGCGGATTGTGTCGGTGCTATG